GCACGGGGTTACAGAGCCGCAAGGTCCATTCAGCCATAGTTAGTAATCCGCGTAACTTTGCGGGCACTGTTGATTTTCTGTTAGCGCTGATACGTGTTCTGCTACGAACCGGTTGTGCTGTAATTGTAAACTGATCATTAAACTCGATTTTTGGATATAATGAATTTCTGGAGGCCAGGCAGGGCTCGCTGTAGTTGTCAGCCCATTCTGTCTGCCTGGCAGGCAGCTAGCGCTGCTCTAGCCAGGTTTTTCTGAGGTTGCCCTTCACAGTGGAATATGAACTCCTTCCTCAAGTTGCTCTTTAACATCTTTCCTTCCACCCACAGCTACGAACGGCAGAAACTGTGTTGCGGAATAGAACAAAACGAAGGGCACGAGTCAACCGGCTTGCTGTGAAAACCAAGCTGTTACCAGCCTCTTGTGCAGTAGCAGGAACAAAAGTCTGGCGTGCTGGCAACCGGAGGAGAGGCGATGAAACCAACAGGCAGAGCCTGGTGTTGCTCGACTATTATTCTGTACTTCCAGAATGCGATTCGGTCCAGGAACCCTAAACAGCTATAGTGAATTCAGGAAAAAATTACTCCAGTATAGATGGAAAAAAATTACTCCAGTTGACTTACCTGAAGAGTCAACGTAGCTGCTTTAGTCGGTTAAAAAAAAAAAAAACTGCACTGCCCAAAATCGCATCGTCCAGGACTTTCCTTTCTTCAGGAAGAGTGCAGACAATGTGAGTTTACACAAAGCACAGCCATCTGATATTTCATTAAATCCCTATTTAGCTTAAAATGAGATTCAAATGAACCTTTTGCCCTTATACGAGCAGAGCCCTCGCACCTCATCTAAAATCTCCTGCCAAGGTACCAAAGGGTTAATTAACATGTGTGCCAATCCCGGTTTTGGCATTCAATGGAGACCTACAAACAGAGAAGAGTCACTGCGTGGACTGGAAATAAATTGGGCATCTCCTTCCACACTTCAACTTTCTCTCCCCAGATTTGCTCGGAGCTCTCCATGTTGCTTGTTCAGTAATTTCACGCTACGCCGCCTAACAACGTAAGCACGGAGGCTCAATCTAAAACTGCACTTCCCAAATGTCACTTGTTTGTGAACACATGGATGAGCCCAAAATTGCTTTTAATATTAGAGTGGTGCCTGCTGGCACCCACTGTAGTTAAGGGTCTGTCAAAATCTGCATGACAAACCCCCATTTTGGGGGGTTTTCATAACTCCATGGCAATTTGCTACAGACAAACTTCCCATGCAAGGTCACCACAGATATGAACCGAGCTCACATCAAATCTGCTTGGCCATTTTTAAGTCGGAAGCCAACGAACCTCATTTAAGACCTCTTGCCGTTTTATGCTTTTCTGACGGCTCCTTTAACTTCAAAATGGGATCTCAGACTTCTGGGCTCCACCCTGCCCGTTACTTACCCTGCAGCACACCTTGGTAGGGGTCAGGTATTTGAACGGGGGAGAAGCAGGAAGCAGAGGTAGCTGCATAAAAGTATTGTTCGTCTTTTCTTCTCTTATAAAGGTTATTATTTGGTTAGTCATCACTAATATCAAAATGGTTATCATTACTAGCTTGGAAGTCACGCCCAACTGGCAAGGTATTTACAAGGATCTTTTTCTTGAAATCGCACGGCGGCTGTAGGACCACTGGTGTAGGCTGGCAGAAGGCACTTGCACCACTCTCTTTCCTAACCCTGCCCAGAGCAGGTCTAGACAACACAAAGGCACAGTGTTTAACAGCCTGTTCACACTAGTCCCTCACCCTCTCTGCTACCAATGGAGTTGCAATGGTGAGAATTTCAAGAAGCTTAGCATACGTTAGGTTAGAGATGAAGTCTCTTACTTCAGCTATCATTCTAGCTTGGCGACTCAGCCAGAAAGCACTGCAAAAAAAAAAAAAAAAATCAGAATTTTTCTTTCAATCCATAATGGATGTCTGCTCCCCCCACCCTTTTTTTTAAATTAAATCTTAAATTATATAGGAATTGATGCTGCCTCTCTAGCATATTAGCCAGACATTACTCAATCCATGCTCGGGCACCAAAGATGTTCCAAGCCAGAACAGCTACTACGGCTACGAATTCCCTGGTCTTGCAGCTTTAAAGTAGCTTTGCGTCGACAGGATCTGCTTAGTTTTGATTTCAGCAGAAGTTTAGTTTAACGGCATTTAAAAAAAAAAAATAAGATGAAAAAATTGAAGTTCAACTGTACAAAGGAACGGGCTATGGTCTAGCCAACATCAGGGAAGAAAGCAACTAGAAACGACATAGCTATGACCAGCCCAGAGCTTCTCAAACTGTGGTCCACGAGCTCCATTCAGGTGGTTCGCAGAAAGGTTGCAAAGCAATCGATAATACCCGTACTTGTAAGGTAAGACTACTGATATTCAAATACGAGTTGTGTGCTTTGATTTGTAGAACAAAAAAAACGTATTCAGTGGTCCGCCAAGGCCCTCAGCAATTTAAGTGATCTGCAAAAAAAAAAAGTTTGAGAACCACTGCCCTAGCGTATACTTTTGTGGATGCCGGGCCATCAGACCTTGAAAAATTAATAAGAATGTATTGGAAAGAGGTTGAGTTTCCTGCACACGGCATAAAACCAGTTGGAAGTTAAGTAGAAGTTTTTCTCCACGGTTTATGATTCCCTAGTCAAGCATATTATGGTAGCTTTAAGTCTCCTTCTGAAGAAGTCAGCGGCAGCCCTATCTGGAGACACCTGTTCTATTGTGGCGCACGTGCTTGGAAATAATTACTACAGCTCTTGGCTAAAGCCCCTAATCTCTAGTGCCTTACCCCAGAATCGAAAAAAAAAAAATCAGTCTAATCTGAATGACTGTCTAGATCTGCAACCTCACTCGCACTAGCCCTACTACAAAAGTCAAAGCAGACTTGAGCTCAAGGAGGGAAGCGGGATGTGACAAGGCAAGGCAGCGCTGGCTGATCAATTCTGTTCATGCTCCGAGCTATAGCAGCGCACGCTGGAATTCCCATCAAGCAGCCTCACATTTCCTCCAAACTGTCAATGAAAAATACTGCCAAGATGTATGTTCGTGGAGGTAAGGGGAATTTATTTTAGAACAAGTATAGAGTTCAAATGTCAAATCTGGCAGCTAATAACAGATCCCCCGAGACCATGAGCTGCAAATTACTGGAAAAATAAACGAGGCAGGCACTTCACCTTTCAGCAGCCTAAAGGGATGGGCACCTTTCTACGGGATGAGCTGCTCAGACACTGAAGATTATGGCATTCGATAGTCGCGGCCAGTCTGCCCGTGCCTGCTTAGGCAATGTCACAGAACACAGAGCAAGGAGGATGAGGATGTAGCAGAGAGAAGAGCCTCTGCAGGGTGTCATTAGTCTCCCTCTCCTACCTGGACAGACTGTATTGATCCATTAAAAATTGAGAACTTGAAAGAAAGAGGCAAGGAAGATGAAGAGTAACTTTTCTTCAAGTCACCATGGTTTCTGGGATTCCACAAGTTCCTCGACAGTCGAGCAAGAAATGGAAACTAGGATGAGCGTGTGCAGCCTCAGGAGCAGAAGGAAGTGCCTCACATCACTGAAGCAGCAGCCATTCACATTGATTAATGACCATCAATGATTAGCAGGGACTAAAATCAGGTCTAGGATATCCTGGCTTGGCTGAAGAAGACAGCTGAAAGGATTACAGCTTGAAGATGAAAAGTTAGAGGGAGGGTGCTGTCAGGAACATGAATATCCCCAAACCTGTGAAGGGAGGGTTAAAAAACTTCATGATCAACTATCCATACACGCAACACAAGCCACTACCAAATCTATATGCATCTCAGTGCCTCGATCCAGGGACCAAAGTAGTCGAGCTCATCATGAAAATCAGTGTTCAGGTATAGCCCATTTCAGACTTTGAAGGTGATATCGCTCTATGGCAGAAATTAAGTCCTTCTCCATGTCAATTTAGCATTGCTTGGACAGCACCACAAACTCAACTGCTGTTACCTGTGTAAGAATTCATCCTCTCTCGCAACACGCAGGAAAACCAGACCATCACTAAAAAAGACCAGAAGTGCCATCTACCTCTATACATCAGCACTTGCACATGGCTTTCTGTGCATATCCAGTGACTTGACTTACCACCCCTTCAGGACAAGGCATGCAAAATACCTCTGCTGTTGACTAGATCCACTCATTAACTTGGAAGCTCTCTCCTCACTGCCACTGATGTAGATGCAAATAAAATAAAAAAAAAAGTGACAAAACAAATGAAGCATGTATTCTGCCTGGAAGGCCACCAGCTCTGGTGAGCTGTCAAAGGGAACAGCTCTGACTACTGAGCTGTCAAAGGAAACACGTTGCATAGAAAAGGGTCTCCGATGGAAGCCCTCTTACGGAGGTTTGTCCCAGAAACCGAAAGGCGCCGCATGCAGGTAAGCAAATGGCTCCCTCATCTCTCCCAGCAATTGAGACCTGAACAAAGTTTCTCACATTGCAAAAAAAATTAATAAATAAAAATCAATTATTTGCAGGTCATGTGCACATTTTTGTCACGTTTTAAACAGCTGCATGACTTCACCTTTCAACTTTTTTTTTTTTTTTTTTTT